TTCGATCATTGAGCCCAATCCAAGATTTCTCTCCATTGTGCCGATGTTGAATGTGGACATTCTCTTCTTGATTATGGACTGTCACAAGATGTGAGCCCATCTTATAACATTTTGTTTGAGCATTTGACCAAGTGGTACAAGTGGAGATTGTGAAATAACAATAACCATTGAAATAATCCCATCCAGGCTGGCATAGATCTGCATGACACGTGAATAATCTTCTCAGAGCGTTGTTAACGCACACGAAAAAAAGTTGCAGTCAAAGGAGATCAACATCCGTGTGTCGTGTCAACATATGATAACTTAACCGATTTTCTGTATCAGTCACTATTCATAGTCTAATTCCATTAGGGTCCACATAAAGCATCCACGCGATCTAATTCTCTAAATCAAAGCGATATAATGACGGACAGCATAGAGATTAAAGCTACTGTTCCTTGACAGAGGACAGTGAGACAGGGAATGCGTATGTCTGGGATATAATAGACTGCAATTTCCATGTAAAGCCATGAGAAATAAGGAAAATCAGTATATCGCCAAATTATTGGCTGCCTCCCACTTCTATCTATTTTCGTCTGTTAAACCATTTGTGAGCTTCCAAAAGTCATGACTAAAAAGATATTTGAGGGGAGAGGGGTACGGAAGGACTTTGTTTATGTGGAAAATGATGTTTGGTGCTGATTTAATTACACATTACTTTGCAACATTGTTAAGCAACCTAAGTATTTACCTGACATGACAGTGTAGATAATAGAAAGAGGATCATATTTTGTTTCATACAATTCCTTGAAACAAACGCGAAAGCCAGTCTTGATGATATACTGTTGAAAAGAAAAACATTGTACATAAGTAATATATTCTTTTTTACTGAATGAAAGGGCCAGAAGGAAAAATTGCTAGATGGTGCAGTGCGCTTCTTATCATAAATTGCATTATTTGCCACGACATTTAACTTCTTGATTGCACGTTAACAATAAGCTTGAAGTGGTATGATAAAACAGTAAATATAAAGAGTATAATAAATGAGCGCGTATATATAGAATTTCTCCTCGAAAGTTTAACTAGATAGCTCACGAGTGAGATATCGAGAAGCAACCATGTACTATTTTGTTTATCATATAAACACAATAGCCCTGTACTGACAAGAAAAGTCGACTTAATTAATGAATGAAAATAATAGGATCGACTCTCCCAATAAAAATCGTAAAGTGCGTTGGCGCACTCGAGATGAAAAAATGTGTTGAGTCACTACAAAAACAAACAGTGGGCCTAATTTTTACTATACGAAATTCTCAATTACTGACTTGGTCCTTACCGACAGAAGAATTCCTTCAGATACACGGTGAAAGTCACCCTGAAGCAAATCTTTTAGATGTTGATTTTCGTTCTCAGCCGCGAGAAAATGCCATTACCAAAGCCACTGAATACGTAGCTTTCGGTTATTCTTTTCGTATTTTGGTTTTCTTACCCTTCTAGGAAAGTTTGAACGTCACTGTCTGTAAGCGATACGGATTTTTCAGTATTTTAGCAGCCACAACCCGAAAAAATTCCGACAAACGACGATGGTTCGAGAATAGCGAAGGCTTTGCCGTTCATTCATCAACCTGACCTACTAGCGTGAAAGGCGAGTGGCGTGTCAGCAGCTGATTGGCGATATCAAATACTTGTGAAAAAATATCGTATTTTTCATGTGTTGTTACGGCTTTTCTCAGGGCTGGAAATCCTTTTATAAGAGCGCATTTTATATGATAATAAATTTTAGGTTTTTCCAGGCAGAAAAAACTGTCTAGAATCTAACTTACCTCTACCCAAGAAGTTATGCCATTGTGAACAGGACTCAGGTTCCCTTCTTTCGTTGAGTGATTAGCAGAGACAATTATGTTTGGGACTATAGGGTAGACGTGGAAGAAGTTAACATCCTGAAAGAGGAAGAATAAAGAGCGTAAATGCGTGAATCAGTACCTATCCTTGAACACACGCCTGGCTTCGAATTAATGGTGAGGTAGAACGGAAAATGTCTTGTATGTACGCCAACAAGGAATTTATCATTGGTCGATCACTAATAGGCCTTTATTAAATCAAACACCACACAGAAACGCTCGAAATAGACAATAAACTAACTAAATCTCCAAGGACAACTGACCTTGCAGAAGGCATTATTTTGATCGTCAGGGGGAGATCTGTTGTTGATAAAGTGAATCACGTTATGTTCTGAGAAGGGGGGCTTATGAAGATTCATGAACGCCAACCAGTTCTGATGAAAATACGAGCACATGAAAATTTCGGGACATTGTCATGCGAGATGGCTAAATAGAAATTTTGTGTGTCTTTACCAAAAAAATTATGTGCACTTTTTCCCCTTAAAATGTTCTCCCAATAGCCAGTTTAAGCACACTTTCAGCTGTATCTCGTTACATTTGAGAGTATCGTGCCAAGATCGAACGTAGTTACGAGAATTGTACATTCTTTAACACATTGTGAACATTTGGTGTCAAGCACCTATTTCAACAGTACTTTAGCCTTGACGCCATATGTGAATAGCTTTAAGGCGTTCTGGAGAGCGGGCGCATAACTGCATGGCATAAATGCTATTCGTCATGACAAAGTATTCCGTCAAAAATTAATGAAAATAAATACCAAATCAAAGGAAGAAAAAAGATTGTTATTGTAATGTGACGATAAGCCAGTGAACTACATACTCACAACAGAAATATCCTTGTGGGATCCTGCGTAGTTCTGGAGCTCCCTCAGGCAAACTTTGCATGAGGATTGCGTGACATCCTCGATCCAGATACTAGCTGCGTCACGCTTCAGTCCAGAATGATGGTGCTTTGCAGTTACAAATACCGAGGGTGCACTGGGAAATTTCTTCTTCCAATAAGAGAAACATTTGTAGGGGTTAGGAATATCCAGGTCCAACCCTGTCTCAGTTACCACGTAATGTTCTTTTTCAAAGAAAGCTTATTCTTACAATACCTCTAACCCATTTAATACTAATGAGGACCTGCACACTAACAGCAGTGGTATCTTAGAAATTTAGGAATGTGCGTGAAATGTAAGGGAATGTCTGTTTTGGACAAAGAGGAATAACTTTTTAGGCGGTAGAAACCGCAAAACGCTCCGTCATTAATGGCTAATGAAGCTTTTGGGAGTCGATCTTATCCTGGTACTTGAGCATCCTACACAGAAAGAAATTTCAGTCTTGTTTGGGGTTTACCAGTCTGACAATTATTTCCCACCAGTTATATAATTAATAATTAAAGATACTCAGTTGCTTATTCCTTAAGACATACGTACGTGTATATGCAATAAGCTTAAACAGAAAAGCAACGAACGAATAAATAAATGTGTTAAAAGATGTGAGATGAAGGAGAAAAAAGAAAAAAGCCTACTTACTGAAGGAAAGTTCACGGTTACACAAGTCGTTCCAGTCCACCATTGTGATACCCGTTCTTCGCCTGCCAGTCCACCCACTGGAGCTCCCTGATACGCCACCCAATCAATTGTGACGTTTGCGTTCGATTTTCGCTCATTGAAACCTGCTGCCATGACACAAGCGTTGAATCTATCGTAGTTGGTGTTCTCAACCCATGACACTGCCGCATCGTGTACATACGACTTGTCACTGGTGTCGATGTGATTGACAGTGATCTGAACTTCAATGGGTTTGTCAGGATAGAATACGAAAGGTTGCAGATGGATCACTACACAATGAGAATATCCCAGTGTTGGAATGTGAGGCATGTGTTGGCGACCATGCTGGAATGGAAAAACTGAAAAAAAAAAAAAATAAAGAGGGAGCACCGTACTGTTTTCTTAAATCTTTGCTTTACTGCGATGTCACTGAATAAGCACGTTGATAAGTTAACCTTGATCGCCATAAAGCACGAAAATTTGACGATTCTAAAAAAGTTTTCAAGAAATATGTGGTTTTAGACTCTGAGAATGCAATCGTGCAGTAGTGACGGTTTCGTTCAAGTTGTCACATGTCGTTGGGCAAAGCGTCAAATGAACCATGCTTTTTGTTCCGTTAGACTTAAAAGTATCCCTTAATTCTGCCGATATTTGAGGGTCGGTAGCAACTTTATGAATTTTTGGCAATTTTTTTAGCAACTTTTTAGCAGTCAGGTGAGAAATTCTTCCAGTATTTTACGAGTATTCCGTCAGTCCGTCAGTTAGTTATTCCGTCAAGCCATCAGTCCGTCAGTCAGTTAGTTCGTCAGCCAGTAAGTCCATCAGTAAGTTAGTCCGTCAGTCCGTCAGTCAATCGGTCAGTCGATCAGCAGTTAGTCAGTTGGCCATACTAAACTGGGTCAAGCAAATCGAAGTCAAAACAGTCAAAACGTCTGTGTCTTAGTCAGTAATGCATTTTTATATACCCGACCATCAAAACATACACTTAACAAATATAGTTCAAACCTTTTCAGCCCAATAAAGAGCTAAACCGTTGGAAACCTTACCTTCACAACGACCTGGATGTTGCACTGAAAAATTACGCCTCAAAAGACACGTCTCTAGTTTGAACAAGCACTCGTTGCCGTACGTTGTACCATTAGACGAACACACGGGCTCGTGGAAGGACGGACAGCGGTCTAAGCACACGCAGCGGGCGTCATGCGGTCCAAAGGCCTTACATAGGCCATAGAAATAGCAGGTAACGTGCAGGCACGGATCCAAGTCTTGCAAAGCAAAAAAGAATACAATTCTTTCTAGGTACATTTGTTTAGTACTGTATTGTATTTGACATGATTTAGACGTCGTCGAAAAAAGAGTTTACAAACAGGACACAAGTAATACATGCGAGTGGCTTACTAAAAGCGATCTTCAAATGATTTAAGACTGTTCTAAAAAATTCTTCAAATATACAAAAAATGAAACTTT